GTTTGTGGTTTATATAATGACCTCTCGTGGGAGTAATCCTGTCGGCTGATCCAGAGTTAAGAGTAACGTCACTTCGGGCGTTTAGACTCGGCGAAGTTTGTCTTAACGACGGACAACAAAGGAAAGGATTGGCAAAATGTGAAAAACAGCTAGTGCAAAGATCATATAAGTTAAATAAGGTGAACAGCGTGTTGAAGAATAGACTCTAGCTGTGTCTACTTGTAAAGTATACTGTAAAGTGGCTGGAGTTTGTTGAACAGAGAAGCCGTAGCTTATAGATGGTAGAGTGTATAGATGTTAGAGTTTATAGATGGTAAAGTTTATAGATGGTAAAGTTTATAGACGGTAGCGTTTATAGATGGTAGAGTTTATAGATGGTAAAGTTTATAGATGGTAGAGTATATGGATGGTAGATGTTATACATGCCAAAGTTTTAGATGGTAGAGTTTATAGATGCCAGAGTTTATAAATTATGGTAGAGTTTATAGATGGTAGAGTTTATAGATGGTAGAGTTTATAAATTATGGTAGAGTTTATAGATGGTAGAGTTTATAGATGGACGAGTGTATAGATGGTAGAGTGTATAGATGGTAGAGTTTATAGATGGACGAGTTTATAGATGGTAGAGTTTATATATTGTAGAGTTTAAAGATGGTCGAGTATATATATTCTAAAGTTCATAGATGCTAGAGCTCATACATGGTAGATTTTATAGATCCTATTGATATAGACGCTAGAATTTATAAAGTTATATTTAAAATAAAAATTAAACAATGTAAATTTCTTTCTTAACGAATTTGTAATTTCCCGTCGAAAGGTAGGCCTATCTGTTATTGCTAGATATCATTGGCCCTTGGTGTTCATGAACCCAAAATGATTTTTTTTTTAAAGATATTTAAATTTCTTATCGTTCATATTATTGTCCGGTTATAATATTTACGTTGATTAACACGCTTCAAATCTTAATGTATGCTCAGCACTTTGCATTACATATAAAGTTTATACACAAATTCACCAATGAAACGCAGAACTATTTCACCAACATTGTGGCGTAGGCAGACGGTGATCCACCACGGGTGGTACTGTTTTCTTGATATGGGGTGGGGTGGGGGGATTATTCCCTGAAAACTCCGTAGTTTTTTTAAAACCTTTTTCTTTAAAGATAGGCGGACAAAATTTTTTCCCACCACCGTCACTAATCTAAGCTACGTCATTAATCCTAGCTACGTCACCGCTATGTTACGCGTACGAGAGAACCTGTATACGTTGAAATGAAACCATTCGTTTCTTTAAAGATATATAAGAACTGAATGGGTTAGCTTCCAAACGTATCTACATTCTTATGCAGCGGCTCTTAAACCTTAGGGGGTACGATACGGACCATTTCGGGGTACGTTAAAATTGTATTTCTAAAGGCAAAAAGTATGTCTTTCCCACTCGTTCATTTACGAGAAGCTATACTTCGAATAGTTATCTGTATACTTTACAAAGAAATTCCCACAAACAACATGCGAATAAAATTATTAATGAAAATATCGGGTTATATTAAGTCCGATACTGATATACATATACATATATATATATATATATATATATATATATATATATATATATATATATATATATACAGATATTATTTAACGTTAAATTATTATTTTTTCATGTTTTATTATCAAATATTATATTGAAATGTTTATTTTGGAGGTTCGATTTAGCTATTTTTTAAAATTTTTGAGTAATAATAAATAAATTTTAAAAAAAATACGTTTTAAAAGCCTTTAAAAACTTGTAAAATAGAAAGTAACTAACAATGGATGTAATTAGCTTCATCCGAATCATCGGATCACTGAGCCAATCTATTTTCTAATGCTCTTTCGGGGATTAGCGGTGGTAATGGAAAGTGACGGGATCGGGTTCTCATAAGTGGACATTCTATTTAAGGGGTATGGGAGAAAAAAAAAGGAGGTTGAGGACCGCTGTTCTACTGTGAAAGTTAAGCCATTGACCTCACGTTCTGGAGAACTCTAATTTTGTTTAAAAACCGCATTTCGTACTCGATGGCTACCCACCAGCCTTAAAAAAGTGAACAGGTGAAACCACGCACAACATCGCATGTCTCAGGCAGCTTCACATTAAACACAACCTGGGCAAAGAACTCATTTGCACGTCCCAGGTGGCGTTACATTAAACACAACCTAGGGTTCCAACTCATTGGCATGCCCCAGACAGCACTGCACTAAACACAACCTAGGCAACGAATTCGTTTGCATTTCCCAGACAGCATTACGTTAAACACAACCTAGGCAACGAAATAATTTGCGTGTCCCCAGATAGCATTAAGATAAACACAACCTAAGCAACGAAATCATTGGCATGTCCCAGATAGCACTACAATAAACACAACCTAAGCAACGAACTCATTGGCATGTCCCAGATAGCACTACATTAAACACAAACTAAACAAAGAAATCATTGGCATGTCCCAGATAGTACTACATGAAACACAACCTAGGCAACGAACTCATTTGATATTTTTGAGATGGACAATTTTAATAATACTTCGACATATCCGATTTTACCACACGCAAGTGTTTTTTGCTTATATTATAGTTGATGATACTTTGGACGCTGGTTGAAATGTTTCAGACGTCACATTGCCCTTAACCCTCTTCTGCTGAAGTTAATGCGGGTTTCATTCGATCACAGAGAATCAACTTTGGACCCTCTCGTCGCATGCCCCCCACCCCGTCCCTACCCTCCACTCCAAGGTAGTCATTCGTTGACCAGGTACCAGAAACCACAAAGGAAGATGAAATTTTACGGTTCCTTTCATTTCTTTTGTAAAATGTGGAGAAAAAAAATTATATTTAAAAAAAACAAACAAGGGTGATAACTGTAAACTAGGAGTTGTTAACTTATGAAAAGTTCCCAACTTGCCAAAAGTCCTGCGTGAACCTTTGACTCTTCAGCCGCTGGAGCAAATACGGCCAGAGGTCAGTTTCAGTAAATCCTCGCTGACCATGTTATCGGGCTGATAATCCGTCCGTTGACATCCGATGAAAATAATGATACAGAATAGGCTGCATGCAAACGTGTGTTTTGTTTTGCCCTCGTTCAGTATGTTAGATTTTTTAATTATTTTTTTTGTTTGTTTTGTTTCTTCTAAAAATCCCGTAATACCCATGAGGTGAATGACAGTACGGATCCAGGGTTTCAGTGTTAGCGCGCCCCCCCCTCCTCGCTCCTGGCTCAGCCATCTAAGCTTCGCGACTTGCAAAACGTGCGCGGGAGCTCCTCTTCATCGCCCCGATTTGTCTCCCACCCGCTACGCACATACACCCCGCACCACCACCCACCACCCCTCCCCCACCCTCCCGATCCCTTCTGTCTCGGCAGCGAAAAGGGAAATTCAAACGGAGAGAACCGGGGAATCAACGTAATGTGTTTTCATTTATGCATAAGTTGTCTTTGCTTTGCTTTTTTAAAAAAAAAAAAAAAAAAAAAAAAACTTTGCCAAATATACATTCAAAACACGCCGTTGTGCTAAGACAATTTAAAAAAAATTGATACGTTTTTTAGTACACCGTTATATAATTTACGCTACGTTGGGTGTCTTCCACCTCGGACATTGTCGTTTTTTCTAATGATTAAAAAAATATAAAAGTGTATATTTCAAGTAGCAACTCTGCTTCACTTCTATCAACTTTGAGGTGATTCCCAATTAAGTAGTTTGTACTTACGCGCAGCGCTTTCATTTTCTATGTAAGTCTTCGTGCCCGTCAATTAAAAAAATAATTAGTAAAAAAAAAACAAAAAAAACACGTCCTTATGACTTTAAGGTTGTGAAGCAGGGAAAACTAAAAAGTGTTGCAACAAGGACCAGACTGAGCTTCTCCCTTTGGGCTCAGTGCGTTAGTTCAAACCTTATTTTTGGGAGATGGGGGCTGATTTTTTTTTTTTTTTTTTTTTTTTGGGGGGGGGGGGGAGTTCATGTTGGAGTCTAGTTCTTGCCTTTCAGTATACGGCCCGCCAGCACCCACTTTGGGGCCCGCGAAGTAACGAAGTATTCTTTATTATTACTATTTCCTTAATAGCTTCTCCCCCACCCCCGTCCTATTTTCTTTCGGCCCGTACCAGTTTTTCATAAAGTATTACGGCCCGCCTTAAGTTTTGAGACCTGCTCTAGGTAGTTGATAACTTAGTACAAACCCATAACTACTAAACCATCGAAGTAGAAAGAAAAAAGGCTTTAGTACAGTTGGGTCTTTTAAAAAAAAAAGAATTATTTGCCTCTAACTGATTCAATTTTCTTGTTTGTCAGCGGTTAGTCTTTACTGGATTCCATTTTCAAACTGTATCATACTTAGTGGATAAGTGGATGAAATGTCTTGCACGTTAATTCTTTTATTTAAACATGCGAAAATACACACTCTGGACCTTGAAAAACGTACCAATTAAACCAGGGTATTGGGAAAATAAACAACAAAAAAATAAAAACAAACGAAAGCTCATTTACTGGATTAAGCTTTTCCGATATTTAATGGTTGGATTAATTTTGGCAATGACATAGAGCTCCACGTAGGGTTGCAGCCCGTCGCTGCCGGCTATCGTAGACGGGGGTTCACACATTCAGTCATATTTTTCATTTCTGTGCATTAGGGGGGAGCCGACCCCTGGACGTTGGAAGGGGGGTTGCCGGCGGCGGTGCAGCGCTGATATTTCTGGGGGTGGTTTTGCGGGCCGGGTCCGTAATCCGGGCATCTCTGAGACCAACTCTCCGTGCGCACCATGGGATGCTGCGCACCCTGAGGAGTTAGCTGCTGAGATGGTCTTGCCGACAGCACTGGCGAGGTCACCATCCCGCCGCAGCAACGGGACCGCGGGTCGTACTGGCCGTTCTGGTAGGGTTGCTGAGCAGGGGGTGAATTTATCACCGCGTAGCTGCCGACGCCATAGGTCTCGACGTTCTGACCATAGCCACCACCACCACCACCACCACCACCTGCCACACTTTCTCTGTTTGGTCCGAAGTTGCCGCCCCCGGCGCATTCTCTAATCCCCCCACAGCTGCCGCTGACGGGATATTCTCTGTTCTGTCCGTAGTTGACGCCAGCGGGTGGCTCCCGGTTTTGTGCAAAACTACCGCCCGCGGGAAACTCCTTGTTTTGAGCACAGTTGACGCAGTTGTAGCAGTCTCGGTTCGGCTCATAGTTACTGCTGGCAGAAAATTCCCGGTTCGGTCCGAAGTTGCTGCAGACAACACAATCTCTGCTCGGTCCAAAGCTGTAGCCTCCCGCATTCGTACCTGCTTGCGCGAAGTTCTCGACAGGTGAACCAGGTGATCCAAAACTACCTGGACTTCCAGGTAGAGTAAAGGGTAAAAAATTACCACCACCGTTGACCGGTGACCCAGTCGGTTGAAAACTGCTGTTGGTAGTCTTAGCTGGACCAAAGGGCGCGACATTGCCGCTAACTGCGTGGGATACGATGTTGCTGTTCCCAACAGGTGAACCTATACCATGGAAATTGCACCCGGGTGATGCACAGCTTGGCAAAAGGTTGTCGACGTTTGATCCTGAGCTGCCACCACAGATGGGGGAGCCGTTTGCTGTGAAGCTGCATCCCGTTGAGCTGTTTGCTGCGTAGTTGCCCCCACCAGCTTCGCCTTGCATTCTCCTCCCGTAATCGGCTTGCGGGTCGGGCGTGTAGCTCATCTGTGACTGCTGACCCATCGTCTGGTATGGCCCATTGTCGTACTGAGATCCGTGGGGTATCGTCGGGACCTTGTTATCGAGAGTGCAGTGATAAATCGCATCGGTGTTACCCCGGTTCGAGGGATAGCCTCTCATGGCTTCCTCGGGCCGACGTTCGAAAACGGGCGCGCCGTGTAGATACACAGGACTTCCCTGGCCGAGATTCCGTTCAACGTAGCATCGAAACGTTGTTTCTTGCGGGAAACCCTTTAGCATTTGCTTCGGTGCCTCATTGTACGGGTAGGCTTCCGGGCGGGGCTTCCGCTGGGACTTCATTTGTTCGTCGTACATACTAGGCGAAGCGGGGTGGAAAGGCTGGATGAAAGGCTGAGTGAAAGGGGTGGGCCTTCTGGAGCACTTGCCGTTGTAGCACGATCCCCTGGCGCGTTCGTCTTCTGAATCAGATTCCGGCCTGCGAACACTGCCCGCGGGCATGACGGTCCTGGCCATGGCAGGGTCGTAGCTTTGACTCCTCAGCTGGCGACGACATTCCGCCAACTCTGCAACATAGTAATGGACATTTGTTATTACGTGAGGCTCAGTGGAAAAAAGGGATTTAATGGGGATTTAAGTTCTTCTTTCGATAAATATTTACATAAAACTCACAGGACATCAATTATTTTTTTTGACACGCATCGGGATTAGCCAACATTCGAGCCGCCGGTAGTCATGTTACGGCCCCCGGTAGTCATGTTACGGCCCCCGGAGCTTGGTCAAATGAACATAAATGTTAACTTTATTGTACATATCACCAAAAAGAACTTTACATCATGAGTCCTTCGTGTCAATTATTGTTAAATTATAGCTAAGAGGAATTTGAAATATCTCGCATGCAGCAGCCATACTCATAAAAGCTATAAAAAAAATCGAAGCCGCGTTCAAATGGTGAATCGGTTAAGAAATACTTGAAGAGCGTCGTTAAAATTCTGTGCTCAGAATAGAAGAAGTGTTTCTCAAAAATAAGTCGCTCTGGCAGACTATTCATGTGGATGACATTGGAAAATATATTAAAGAAAATTTGAAGTGAAGCGTCAAGTATCCCAGTTTATATTTTATGCTCTAGCATTGGATGAAAGCACAGATATGGCAGATACCGCCAAACTCTAGCATTTGATGAAAGCACAGATATTGTAGATACAGCCAAACTCTAGCATTGGATGAAAGTACAGATATGGCACATACTGCCCAACTTTAGCATTGGATGAAAGTACAGATATGGCACATACTGCCCAACTTTAGCATTGGATGAAAGTACAGATATGGCACATACTGCCCAACTCTAGCATTGGATGAAAGCACAGATATGGCACATACTGCCCAACTCTAGCATTGGATGAAAGCACAGATATGGCAGATACTGCCCAACTCTAGCATTGGATGAAATTACAGATATGGCACATACTGCCCAACTCTAGCATTGGATGAAAGCACAGATATGGCAGATACAGCCCAACTCTAGTATGGGATGAAAGCACAGATATGGCAGATACAGCCCAATTCTAGCATTGGATGAAAGCACAGATATGGCAGATACTGTCCAACTGGCAATTTTTGTCAGGGGTGCTGATGTCCATTTTAAAAAGACAGAAGAATTAGCGGCACTGTATCCACTTAAGGACATTACTAAGTCACAAGATTTGTTAGAGGCAGTTGCATCGACATTGAATCGCTTTTCATTACAACTTAACAAGTTATCGGGTTTAACAGTGGACGGTGCCCCAGCAATGATTGGGAAACACAAAGGTTTAGTCTTAACAACGGATGGTGTTCCAGCAATGGTTGGGAGACACGAAGGTTTAGTCAAATTTATGGAAAAATAAGGCCTCCAAAGTCAGTAATAAAGCAATGCTAAATTTTCTTCGATCATTCATCAGGAGAATGTATGTTCGAAGTCTCTCAACATGGACCATATCATGAAAGTTGTTGTCAAATAGTGACCTACATTGAGTCAAAAGGTTGAATCACCGTCAGTTCCAAGAATTTTGTTAAGTCTTTGACCTCAGTTTATAATGACGCTACATTTTATGCAGAAGTAAGATGGCTAACCCTTGCCAAAATGTTGAAAATAGTTTTGAGTGGCAGGAAGATATACAATCATTCTTTTCTTTGCAAGCAAGTCCATAAGTATCGCTAAGTTTGAAGACAAAGAGTGGGTTTGGGACTTTCTGGTCGATATAACTAGCCACCTAAGTGACGTCAATACTCGTCTACAAAGGAAAGATCAATTAATTAGTAAGATGTCTGATAATATTTCTTCATTTCAAATGAACCTTGGTCTTTGGGAACAACAGTTGAGGACAAAAAACTTAACACACTCTCCTACATTGTCATGGCAACCAGACGTCACACAGGTGCTGGCGGGTAAATAAATGCGCTTCTTTGATATCTTGACTTCAACCTCGAATTAGAAAAACCGATTTCAGGATTGTAAAAAAAATCGTGCTTTTTTTTTTTGTGTGCATTTGCAACGCCTTTCGCGGTTAACGTCAATTTATTATCAGGAAGATTACCAATGGAACATTTTGATATGTGCTGGGATACAGTAGTTAAAGGGGAATTTCCATTTGATTGGTGCGGAAGAGTTCTATAAGACGTATTTAGACAAGAAGAAATATCCCACGTTTTGCAAAAATGCTCTGTCTTTGGTTTCGCTGTTTGAAAACAAGTGTGCGCGTGAACAGCTTTTTAGTCGAATAAAGTACATCACATCACACGCGAGAAAACGAATTACTGACGTAACATCAGTCGAGATCAATTTTGTTGCTTTTAGCTCTGCAAAACATAGTCAGATGCATGACTGTTAAAATTTGTTAAATTGTCTAATAAATAGATTTGATTCTCGGTGGTTTTAGTTTCTTCCAAAGAAAAAAAAATTATAATAATAAATATCCAAATTTCTAGTTTTTTTCACATTAAACCACGAACTCATCTAATGGGGAGAGACGATGTTGGTCGAAGCTGTAGCACGATTGCTTGTGAAAAAAAAATTATTTACGTGGCCCGGCAGGAGATTATATTTCTGAAATTTGGCCCGCCTGATGAAATTTTTGGCCAGCTCTGACATACATATTAACAACCCACAAAAGTTACAATTAAAACAAAAGTACAAATATATATATTAATGTAGAGCATACGAGTGAGTAAATCACGCATCAAACATTCTATTCAAAGCTCAAATCAACATTTGAAAAATCTAATCAATGTTAAATAGTACATATTTAAAGTCACTAACAAGACACCAAAAAAGAACAATTCACAAGGCTTAAAATAGTTCACATATTTGCACGAGTTTTGTCTTAGAAACAGCACCACAAAAAGTGTGGGGACAAAAACCGATACCATAGAATTAGAATGCTCCTACAGATATCAACAAAGTTTTAGCATAGAAAACGACATTAGGTGCTTTTTGAAAATGTGGCCACGCGTGAGGATGACAGCTTCCTAGACGCTCTACAACTATCGTCAAGCGGCTGGCATAGGTAGATTGAATTACTGAGAAACGCGTCTATCGTAATCGTAATCATTAGGAACTGTTCATGCAAATCCTTGCACCCATCCAAAATGGCTGTCTGAACTGTTCCAACTACATGTCCGAAGTTTTCCTAATATCTGACCGATCGTTTCCCAATATTTACTCATAGTCATGTATTAGTTTGAGCTCATTCGAATGCATCTTTGGATGTCTTCACGTTCATATCTGACCCTGTCAAGACTTTTTTTTTAATATAAATGCTTGTTCTCACCCCAGTCATATTTATTTCATCTTTCCATACAACGCCTGACCCAGTTGATCTTCAGGCAGCTGATGCCAATCCATCATTGTGGAAGAGAAATATTTTTTGAACGATTTCAGAAATTAAAATAATGGGCATTAACATTCTATTACTTAAAGCTTTGAAATCTGGTGGAATGGCTTATTTATTACACAGCTTTGTTCTAAATTTCATATCCATATTTATGAAGTGACATACACAAAATGTATATTAGCGTCATGATTGAATAACGATGAAATCACCACAAACCAAACACACAAAAAAACAACACACACACACAGACCAAAAAACACACAAACACAAATCTTGTCATTGTAGGACTCTCTGTAAAGGAAGGACACCATCGTGGTCTTTGCATCAGCTCTTTACACGATTCAGCTCTTTGAGTCAAGGTTTTGTTTTTTCAGAACACTATGTGTCGCACCATTTTTGTCTTTCAGAACAGTATGCGTCCATACATAGTTGTTTTTTTAGTCTGTTTCAATAAAGTTTGTTTTTTTTTAGTTCTCCAAGACCTGTTTTTTTTTAAAATCTATCAGCATAACGCTAACTACCTATTCGTTATACTTATCATGCTTACTACAACAGCCGGGCCACTCTCGAATCACGAGTACTCCTAGACAAATTTTCCGAAACCGTCGACGATCACTCAGATAGAAATGTATTTCAGTTGATAAAACAAAGAATATCAATTTTCCTTGTTGCGACCATGTCTCGAGATTATTATTATTTTTTTTTGTATATTGTTTAAATATAGAAATTGTATGGTTTTAACATCTTTCTAAATTGTCAGAAAGGTATGTTTAAATATGATTTCAATTCTCGTAATAATATGATAGGTTGCATAGAAAAGTGGGGGGGGGGGTTCGCCGCCTTACAAATTAGCCACCCGGGCTTTAAAGGGGAAAAGTTCATGGGTTGCGCCTTACAAACTACCTACCCGTGGTTTATCACCAATATTGAAACTTTTTAACATCTTTCTAAATTGTCAGAAAGGTATGTTTAAATATGATTTCAATTCTCGTAATAATATGATAGGTTGCATAGAAAAGTGGGGGGGGGGGGGTTCGCCGCCTTACAAATTAGCCACCCGGGCTTTAACAGTGAAAAGTTCATGGGTTGCGCCTTACAAACTACCTACCCGTGGTTTATCACCAATATTGAAACGACAACATCATGGGCGGGTACTCGGTATGATTCGTGTGGGGAATGATCCTAGACAAACGTGAATGATGTCGGTCTCGTCTGATGCAAACCCCGATACACTTTTCGATACACATTCAGAGAGACATGCGGGTACACATTCAGAGAGACATGCGGGTACACATTCAGAGAGACATGCGGGTACACATTCAGAGAGACATGCGGGTACACATTCAGAGAGACATGCGGGTATACATTCATAGCATAAATCCAATAGACGTACTGATAGACATTCTGGTAAAAGTTTTGGTGGACCCTCTGAAGGGCGTTCGTGTCAATATTCAGATAGAAATTCGGTTATAATCTTAGTGTTTCTTCAGATGGACTTTTGGTTGTAGACTGCGATGCACAATTTCTTCAGATGGACTTTTGGTTGTAGACTGCGATGCACAATTTAAGACACACATGAAGATAAGGTCATGAAATTTACACATTCTAATCCACGTTAAACTTGCACAGTCACCCACTCAGTCATTCACAGGTCATAATAAACATCATAAACTCACCATTTCTCAACTCATTAATACACAGTATAAACTCACCTTTTCTCAACTCATTAACACACAGCATTAATTCACCTTCCCTCAACTCAATAATACACAACAAAAACTTCCCTTGTCTCAACTCATTAATATTCAGCATAAACTCACCTTCTCTCTTAGCATTAATACTATTAATTAACTCAACTTGCCTTGATTCATTAATGCACAACATAATCGCACCTTCTCTCAAATCAATAACCGGACAACCTAAACTCACCTTGTCTCAACTCATCCTCTGTAAAATACTCCTCATCAGCGTCATTATTTTCTTGCACGTGGGTCGAGGAACGTGCCCGTCCAGACGTGACCTGCTGATTGGCTTTTCTAGACTTCCCGGAATACTTCTTCGCATGGGCCATATCTGTGGTTGATAACATTGATTTGAAATCACCTGGAGGCCTCCAGAGGGCTTCTTAAGTTCACAGAATTTTATAATCACAGAAATAAATATTTAAATAGTGAAGAATTTACATTAATTTTTATTGGCATTTATTTTGGCCACCCTTAACAGAAACTTGGAAAAAAAATTTTTTTTTTTTTTTTAAATGTTAGCTACTTAGTACCTTGCTGAAGCAGTACATTTGTCATGAGTCGATAACAGCATTCGTTAAAAAATATATTATTTTGCAAGCAATATGTTTCATCTAAACTATGGAAAAATAATGTTCGAAACAATTGCTGTTTTACTTCGCTATCAGTATTTACAATTTCTCCAATTTTTGCACTTTTTAGATCTTTTAAGAAAACTAACTGACCACACAGTCTACTGTCATGATAGGTAAAAAAGAATTCACATTGTTGAGACTGATGAGAACTCATCGGTTATTCACACGCCTGGAAGATTGAATCAGTCATCAGTCACGGTCAATAACGGTCACGCTATGTTTACTGTACCGTGGAGTCACGTGATCAGTCACATTGGGACCTCCCAATGTTTACAATAGTGAGATTCTACTGTTTCTACTGCATCTCACAAAGGTCACATATTTTACAGTTATTTTAATGTCACATAATTCATATGTTTACAGAACGCCAATCATTTTTTTTTAATTTGGAAAGGACACCCTTTACTCTAGCAAAGGACATAACTTACTATAGGAGGCTACATATTTTACTCTCTAGAACAGGCGTGCACACCTCAAAGTGTAAGGCGGGTCGTAATACTTTATGAATAACTTGTGCGGGCCGAAAGAAAATAGGACAGGGGGGAAGCTATTAAGAAAATAATAAGAAGAATATTTCGTTACTTCGCGGGCCGAAAGTGGGCGCTAGGGTGCCGTATGTTGCGCAGGTCTGCCCTAGAAGGAAGTCTGTAACAGGCAAATGCCGAAAAAGTGGTGTAAAATCTATCGGGGAAATATGGTGTACAATATATCAGAACAAAGGGCGTGAAATCTATCAGGAAAAATGGTGTAAAAAAAGGATGAGCACAGGTTTCTGGCTATGAGGTAAAACTCATTTAAAATTAATGCAACCTCTACAAAATTGGAAATAGCTAAAGTGCCTTGCATTGAATGAGTCCTCAAGCCTCCCCACCCCCTGGTCTATAGGAAAAGGCCAAGAAAAAGCCCGTTTGGGCAGTATTTATTGGTTTTAGATATCAGCGTATAGTTACGTTTATTTCTCGTAAATCCGGTATATATTTTCTGTGCTTGGTTTTAAATCTTCTCCGTTTTCCTTTTCATAGGCTGTCATCGTGAATTAGTCATGTGAAGCGAAAGATCCCGGATCGTGACCATGTCGAATGTTTGCGCGGTGTCTGCTATAGTTGTCACCCACGATATGCGTCTCAGTTCTTCATTGGAGATTCGGTACGAAGGCTCTATGGATTCTTGACGGGAATTATGCATGCTATGAATGGATTCCTAGGGGTAATTATACTTGCTTTGAATGTACTCTTGGTGGGAATTATACATGCTTTGACTCCTCCATCCTGATCTTGGAAGGTAATACAGCAACATTTAGGTGTTACTAGGCCTTATGAAGCAATCTTCATCATCGGAGTAAACTCTGAAAATCGCTCATCACAAGTCTCTCAACATCAAATTTATGTTATTTTATTTCTTTTCCATCGGCGGATCTGTCCAAACAGTAAAAATAAAACCTTTCACTTGGCTTAAGAAACTTTGTTCTTCATCTTTAGAAAAATGCGAAATTTTATTTTGAGTTCTTTAACTGTTTTCTTTGTTAATCATACAATGCGCATGGGATTTCTAATTTGTGTCCCTTTTATCATGTTATTTTAACTAAGAGAAAATAAAACAATGTTGGTACTGAGAGTTGAAAGCTGAAGCCTTTCTTCCATCGGTACTTTAACCAGGTGAAATAAAATCAATGCTTAAAGTAGAAAATACTTTCAAATAAAAAAAAAGTATCATTACCTGGAATTCGGCTATATTTAGGAGGACACCAAAACAGTTGTCTAATTATGGTCGGACTTTACTTACGTAAGACCCTAGACTATTTTGAGGACCCTTGCAATAACCCCATCCCCATTTTTATAATAAATAGATCCTATAAAAAGTGTAAAAGACCTTTGCACTTGTTAGCACTTGCACACACAGTTGTAAGTATACTTTTTGAAATATATAGATATATATATATATANATGTATATATTTATTTATTTATTTATTTATATATAAAGAGAGAGAAATGGATAGAGATATATAAAGTTGCAATCACACTTAAAAAAAAAAATCAATTCAAATACCTAGGATCTCTATTAGATGAAAGAAAGAAATTACTAATAGAAATAAAGGAGAGGATTATCGACCGGAAACAGGGCATAACTTCAGTAGTCCCAAAATACTCAAAAGTAAAACACATTACAAGAAAAAAAAACAAAAAAAAAATAAAACTGTAATCAGATCAGTTTTAAATACAAAAGTGAAACTGTGACCCTAACAAAATGGCAGAAAATCTATTAGCAAATGGGAGAGAAAAGTTTTCCGGAAAATTTATATACAAACAAAGGGATGAAGAATACGAAACAACCAGGAATTGTATAATCTGTATCAGGATCCCACGCTTGTATCAGAAATTTAAAAAAAAAAAAGGGCAGGCAGCGCCTGGGCGGGACATTTAGAAAAAAATGACAACGTAGTGAAGTGGTTACACAACCAAAGCCCCACAGGAAAACGGCTCAAAGGCAGACCTACCCTTACATGGATGGATGATGTGGGAAAAGATCTAGAGCAGCTGGGAATTTAAGTATGGAAAAGAAAAGCATAAGTTAGGTCGGTGTGGAAGGAAGTGGTGAGGCAGGCCAAAGCCCTACAAGGGCAGTAGCGCCTCAGGGCTGGATGGGTATAAAAATATAAAGTGCAAAGCAATGACAAGCATAACCGCCACCTATCCCAAAAGACGTGTGTGCTACGTGCGGGAAAGCTTTCGGGGCGCAAATAGTACTGGCAAGCCATCTCCGTACTCACAGACAAACATAATTTTGATCATCTTCACGTGGGAAGGGCGAACACCAAATAATTATAGCTTATAGGAATTATTTATATTACGTGCACTTATGCTTTTAAGATGATAAAGTCTAGGTGATGCATTTCAACGCCGGTATAGTGACCATCAAACTAAATAGCCTGCTTAAAATCCTCAAATTAAGTGGTTCCACAAATCCCCAAACACGAATGACTTCACAAAGCCCATTTGGAGCAATAAATCGGGGGGGGGGAACATGGAGATGAATAGGTCGTACCATGAGAGAACTCGATACCCGTGTGGATTCAACAAGGTAAGTACTGGCAAGGAACCTGCAAGGATGAACAGGAAACGTTGACCCGAAAAAAAGCCCGACGAGAGCTGTCGACAAAGATGTACTAAAGATTGGAAAACGTTGCAGAGAGTTAGAGAGTATCGACAGAGACTGGAAGACTTGGAAAGAAATTGTCAATGGACTGTGCTCCACCGGGAGTTCGAAAGGTCAAAGACAAGGGGAACAGAGAACTAATCCTAAGATTGCTTCCTCGTTATGGAGGGCCACCTGGATTTTTGCCTGGTATATTTCTTGATAAATGTCTGCATAAGATAGAATCAGCTCTATGTTTATCTTACTTGGCTTTTAAATCTTCAAATAAACTCCTCAAAGTTGCTCCAATACTCAACAATAGTTGTGATTTTCAAACACATTTTTTGCGGAATTTATGATAATAACACAACACACTAGACCACAAATGTGGCACAAACACAAATTTCAATTCCTCCAGTTTTGCTTATGATCCTTAATTCAAGCCTGGTGTCTCCTTTTCCACTAACATCGCAATGTAAATGCTTCTTTTGATATCGATTTAACCATGGGTGGCCAACCCAAATGACGTCATGGATCATTTTTGATTGCGAGTCAACTCTTCAAATGCCGCTAGTCATTCAACTTATCAAATAAGAAAAAAAAAAAAGGTCGAATGAGTATGTATACAACTAAACAAGATTTTATTGCACTCAATAACTCTTTATGTTTGTTCATTGACTTGCGCTTGCAGTCTTCAGTTTTGTTTAGTGAATCGGTTATGAACATCCAGACAGCGCGCTTCTTCCTCCTAGTGGTTTTAGTGACACGCAGTGCGGTAGGAGACTGAGTAGAGAAACAAATGGTCTGCGTCACACAGAGTCCGTGAGGCTGTTCCGTGTCAGCGCGGCGTGACATGTCGTGCTATCCGAAGGAGATGTGTCGAGTCGTGCCGGGGGTTGAGTAAGTGAATTTGCCAGGGACGCTATATTCACTGGTGTCACTGTCCTCGCAACTGAAAAACTCTTTAGTGCAGGTGTAAAGTAAAAAAAAAAAAATAAAAGCTTCAGAAAGAGCGTACAAAGAACCTAAGAGTAGGCTACTGACGTGGAAGAAAGTCGCATTAAAAATTTATGAATTCGTAAAAACCCGACATGTCACTGAATACATGCTTGAAACACGTGTGTATTTCAAATACATGTTGGGGCTGGGGTGGTAGTTAAACTCTTTTATTTAATTATAAATTATAATAAAGGAAGGCAACAATACGTTTTTAAGGTGGAAAACATTTTTAAGGTTATGGTTTAAAAAAAAATATTGTGACTTTATGTTAAATTTTATTATTATTTTTTATTTAAAAAAAGCTATCTCCTCTAGGTTTTTTACAGTGAGATTAATGCCTGTTTTTTTTTTTTAAAATATATTTTTGAACGATTTCAACAAATTTTAATGATAATATAATAAGCCTTCTATACATACAATTTAATGTAGTGTTGAATAAAGACTCATTAAAAAATTTAAATAACATTTTTTATTACAATTCCTAGAACTGTATTTCAACCGTAATGGATCTCAGCCTGTCGAAATCTAGTATCCCTTATATTCAGGTTACCAAACTTGCATTTGGTGGCTCGTGATAGTTCACCCAGTGTGCCCTAGCTGGGAAAGTCGATCAAATACACTGAATGGAATACTCCAGTATAGCAGTAGCCGACATCTGCTGACACCAAACTGGGGGGCGCACTATGACTAAAAGACCTTTTTAAATCTGCGACTAATTTCTGCAAAGTATTTATTTTTAATTTGCATAATTTTAAATTGCTTGCTTTCAAAGTAACATATATTAGCCAAACGCGGTAGTCTATAACATATGTCTCCTCAAATCTTGTTGACCCTTACGATTTTTTGAGGACTTAGGCTTAAGCCTATTTAACCTATAGGGAAATCTGACCCCGATAAACAGCTTATACTTTGTTTGACGTGGTCTTTTTTCTTTCATCTCATTTATGAACTTCCCATATAGAGTACTGGCCGTCAGATTTCATGTGCCAATTTTACTGACCACGTCAAACAATGTGGATTAGACGAAGCATTACCGTCTTCTGACACGACCTCGTCTCTGTTGCTGTAATCCTCTTCCGAGTCATCGACCACCCGGCTGGGCGATGACGACGCGGACCAGCCCTTTGCGGCCTGGTCACTCATTAACTTCGGCGACCTCCTGCTTGATCTGCCGGATCTTTTACCAGGTTCTGTGTGGATACATGCACAAATAACTTTGCCGTTAAAAAAGGATCCTTTACGATCTAAATAAAATTGAAAATATGAGTCAGCAATAAACTTTGCAATCTATATATATAATTTGCCAGAAAATAGGGCCAACAACAAGATGGGTAAAACAACAAGACGACCACGCAGGCTATATATAGATACGCCAGAGGAAGCAAGGCGACGCAGGTAAACCCTCCCTTCCATTGCCTTGTCTGCCCATCATTGGTCTCGAGACATGCGCACTGTGGTGGAGCTAGTGCCCCCCACCCTCCTGCACCACCCTAGCTTGCCAGCCAAGCTCGCAGCGTCTGCTAAGCCGCGGGTCGCGTCGCATATCATGAAAAGTGGGGGGGGGGGAAGGGGTCTGGCAAAATTGGCATTTTTAAATGTGCATAACTTGAGTTCACGTTTTTGTCAAGTAACTTGAGTAGATGGGAAGTTCACGCATTGCTGTTGCCAATGTTTAGTGGGCTACATCTCGCTTGCCAGCCAAGCGCACACCCCAACAAGCTAGGGCGTATGCTATGCCGAAGGTCACCTAGTATTTTATAATCACACATCGTGTGTCAGAAACAAACGATGTTCCCAAAGTTCTGTCTCAAGGACCTCCAACTGTGTTGGTCGCACGAGGTTTTGTATAGATTTCCATAGAATACAAATGCGGGTGTAACTTCCAGCGACACAGGTTTCAAATGAAATCAATATTAGCTTACATTTTTTTCAGTTTGTATGGAAAATATTGCACATACATTTTGATCCCGGTTTATCCTTTGGGATTAATATCCCGAGCAGAGGAATATTTTTAATAGTGTAAGTTTGTTGTCATGGGTGTATTTGGAGAATCACGCAGTTTACCACAAGTCATGTCTCGAGCGTTTGGAGACTTCAAGGTCATTGAACAACATTTGTGCGGTGTGGCTGGTTTGAAATGTCAAAAGTGACTAACACTGTACTGGATAGAGTGGTTTAGAGCGTCATGTTTACTGACACGGGTAGAATTTTTGGATCACTCACCTTCCTCGGACTCAGGCTCGGGCTCGGACTCTCTGCTCATCGACAGCGTGCTGTCTTCCACCGAGTCCTCGTCGTGCCTGCTGGTCACCGGGTGCATTTTACTTGCTCTGTCTGTGCGCTCGCTTGCACTTCTCGGCAGCCTCGGGGTCTTTCTCTGTGAACCTTAGGACACCAATGCAAGGAGAGCTTCAAATTTTTTTTTATTTCATATATAGACTATCTAGATTAAATAGTTCATAGGCCGTTACATACATTTAATGACAAGGAAAATATGAAATTGAATCAAACAATTTTTTCCTCCATTTTTTTTTTCAAACACGGATGATTGATCTTATGACCTAATTATCATTTTAACGTAGACTGACTTTCCCAAATTGAATGACAAATTGTGTTGTTAATTTAGATTGCCTTTTCTAAAGTAAATTTTAAAATGCGTTGTTAATTTAGACTGCCCTTTCCAAATCGAATGACAAATTGTGTTGTTAAGTTTGACTGCCTTTTTCTAAAGTGAATGTCAAATTTATGCTGTTAACGTAGACTGCCTTTCCTAAAGTAAATGCCGATTGTGCTATTAACATAGAATGCCCTTTCCAAAGACAAGAATTGCGGGTTTTTTTTATTATTATTATTGCGTTATTTTCAAACTTTCGACTTTACCGTTGTTTCTGGTTTGAGAGGACTAAACCTTACTTGATAAATTCACCCTATGATCTGATAAGGCGGCCATTTTCACTCCTGCACTTTGCGACATTTTTACCTTTACTGATATATTGCGAGATGCGTCAAATAAAACTCCACCAAAGATTGAAAAAATGACATTATTTCTGAAAGGCCATATTTTGTAGACAAATTTAACTTCCCAAGTCGTGGTGACTCGTTTAGATTGATTCAAAGACCACTAACAGTCGATGATTAAATGGCGAGAGCATTTGCTAGTCTGCTAGTCCACCACAAATAGGGACACTTCTCTGTTCACTGCTGCTGTTAATGCTAGTCCACCACAAATAGGGACGCTTCTCTGCTCACTGCTGCTGTTAATTCTCGAATCCTCCAAACGGGCTAACTACCATTGTTCATTAGAAATGAAAATAAAAAATCAATTTGTCTAAGGTAAATTAAAAAAAAAAATATTGACACGTTCCCTTACAGTGAAGGATGCGCCCGTGTGTAAGGCTAATGGACTGTCAAGTTCATAACCACCACGCATGCAGGTTTTGATTTTAGTACTCTAGATGAAATAAATGTAACACACTCCAGAGTTGGAGAAGACGCTGCACAGAGTTACGAGAAGACACTGCACAGAGTTACGAGAAGACACTGCACAGAGGTATGAGAAGACACTGCACAGGGGTAAGAGAAGACACTGCACAGAGGTACGAGAAGACACTGCACAGGGGTACGAGAAGACACTGCACAGAGGTACGAGAAGACACTGCACAGAGGTACGAGAAGACACTGCACAGATGTACGAGAAGACACTGCACAGGGGTAAGAGAAGACACTGCACAGATTTAAGAGAAGACACTGCACAGAGGCAAGTGAAGACACTGTACAGAGTTACGCTAGGACCGCAAGAACAGCAGCAGCCAGTAAGCTGTGACCCAGTCTCCGGTAAGGTAATAGCTCACGTGATGGGGATTGGGGACATGAGAATAACTGCGAGAATATCCGTTCAACTGATTAGAAACAACTTAATATGGTACAACAAATGATTAGTGGCCATCATATGAACGTTAGTGGGGTACGTCAAAGTCTTTTAAAAGAGAGTAACTTGTCCGTGGTTGCCACCTCCTTCTTTTGCAATGGTGATTTGTTCCGAAATCATGTTTTTTGTTTCTAACTTGGCTCATGTAAGTTAAGTAGGGATGATTAAAACAGATCAAAAATATTTTTTTGTTTTTAAAGTGTATTGAAGATAATTTTTTTTTATTCAATTCACGGTATTGTTATCCCATCCTTGTTGCAGTTGTACAACGATGTCAGCGACCAATGAAATGAAAGCAGAACCAATCCACTTGCCCTTTCTCCCCAAAAAATACTGGGTTTTTCTCCTACGTGGTCGAAATCCCTATCTACGTGGTCGTACTCCCTATCATCAGGTTCCATAGTTGCATACATTCATGAGAGGATTAATGAAAACTATGATTATGTAGGGAGCAAATACAGCACGTAGAAACGCCGAGTGCAGTGGCCAATTGTGTAGATTACATAAGTTTGATAAAATGTGTATTCGACGTTTTCATAAGCGTATTCTTTTGGATCAACTTTGTTTAAAATGTTCGTTATTAAGTAAACAGTGGACTTTGCATATGACACGAAAAATGCAATCGCTCTGAAATTTAATTTAACGTCTCAGCCACTCATTTGAAACTGACTACAGAAATTAAATGCACCACACACTCTTGTCATCGGATCTTTCAGCCGTGCTAACCTGATTCGAAAGAGGAGTGGCTGTCTTGGGTCGACTTTCTATTAGGTCCGTTGGATGAGGCGCCGGCGGAGTTCTCACTCTGCGACAGCTCGCTGGGAGCAACCTCGCTGTCCGTGTTGCTTTCGTTAATCTCTTCCGTCGCCTCCCTGGACTTTGACGACCGGGGGTGGTCCACGTTTGGGTTCGGGGGACTGCTATCGCGCGGGAACATCGCCTTCTGAGCTTTTCTTCTTTGATCGTCTTCAAAACACGTTCTCTCAAACTCCTCTTCGTTCGTGCACGTTGCTCTGGTGGTAACCACTTTCACACAACACGTCGGCGCCGCCGACGCAGCCAGCATGATGTCTGGCAGAGCTCTGTCAAACAATCTCACCTGCCCCACTGGGTTCATGCAATCTCGATTAACGCCGCCACCGCATTCGCTGATGCACCCACTCCGGGGCTCCCCAAGATAGAGTGACAGATTTAACTGCCCGATGCTTGGTACTCCTTCGACTGAACAGTTTGGAGCCCTTGCCGGACACTCGTCGTTACAGCTGTTATCTCCACGGTGCTTCTCCGCTTCTGTTCGTCTCTTCGAATCTCTTTCACAGGGCATTTTTTTAGTTCTTCTTGAATATGATTCACTGTGTTTCGGAGGACTCGCATCAGTTTGTCTTTTTGAGGAAGTATCTGATCCACATTCATTGTAACTTTTTGAGGATTTTTCTTGTTGGCACGTATCTGGTCTGTTTGATGGCGCTTCTGTTGCCCCTTCTTTTTGTCTTTTCGTAGTAAACTCTTGTTCCCGCATATTTGGCCCTTTTGAAGAACTTTCTGGACCAGACTGACTTGGTCTTTTTGCTGAAGAGTCCAGTGTAAAATCGTTTTGCTTCTTTGATGAAGTTTCAGGCCTATGCTCACTTGGTCTTCTTGAAGATATTTCAGGTTCCTTTTCACTTGATCCTTGAAAAATCGTTTCAGGACCCCATTCAGTAGGTCTGTTGGAAGACATTTCAGGCCCCCATTCACTTGGTCGTTTTGAAGATATTTCTGGCCCCCATTCACCACTTGGTCTTTTCGAAGAAATTACAGGTTCCCTCTCACTTGGTCTTTTTGAAGACATTTCAGGTTCCCATTCACTTGGTCTTTTTGAAGACATTTCAGGCCTATGTTCACTTGGTCTTCTTGAAGAATTATCAAGTCCCCTTTCACTTGGTCTTTTTGAAGAAATTACAGGTTCCCTCTCACTTGGTCTTTTTGAAGACATTTCAGGTTCCCATTCACTTGGTCTTTTCGAAGACATTTCAGGTTCCCATTCACTTGGTCTTTTTGAAGATATTTCAGGCCTATGCTCACTTGGTTTTCTTGAAGAATTATCAGGCCCCCATTCACTTGGTCTTTTTGAAGACATTTCAGGTTCCCATTCACTTGGTCTTTTTGGAGGCATTTCAGGCCTATGTTCACTTGGTCTTCTTGAAGAATTATCAAGTCCCCTTTCACTTGGTCTTTTTGAAGACATTTCAGGTTCCCATTCATTTGGTCTTTTTGAAGACATTTCAGGCCTATGCTCACTTGGCCTTCTTGAAGAATTATCAGGCCCCCATTCACTTGGACTTTTTGAAGATATTTCAGGCCTATGCTCACTTGGTCTTCTTGAAGAATTATCAGGTTCCCAATCACCTGGTCTTTTTGAAGACATTTCAGGTTCCCATTCACTTGGTCTTTTTGAAGAAATTTCAGGCCTATGTTCACTTGGCCTCCTTGAAGAATTATCAGGTCCCCATTCACTTGGTCTTTTTGAAGACATTTCGGGTTCCCATTCACTTGGTCTTTTTGAAGACATTTCAGGCCTATGTTCACTTGGTCTTCTCGATGAATTGCCAGGCCCCCATTCACTTGGACCGTCTGAAGACGTATCTGGCCCCCAATCAACGTGTCTTTTTGAAGATGCTTCTGGTCCCCATTCACTTGGTCTTTTTGTTGAATTATCAGGATCCCATTCATTTGGTCTTTTTGGGGAATTCTCAGGTCCCCATTCACTTGGCCTTCTAGATGAATTATCAGGTCCCCATTCACTTGGCTTTCTAGATGAAGCTTCTGGTCCCCAATCTTTCGTCGTTTTCGACGGTGTATCTGGTTCGTACTCGCTTTGTCTTTTTGATGGATTTTCAGCCCCCCAATCACTTGGCCATCTAGGTGACGGTTCTGTTCCCCAGTCTTGTTGCTTTTTCGAAGAAGAATTTTGAACTGAATTTTGTTCTGTAACAATGCTTTCTGTTGGTAATTTTGCTGGATTTTCGCATTCAATTGTGTCCCGTGGAAAAATTCTAGACGCTGCGACTCCTGCTATAATTTCACCCACGTCTGTAGGATGGCTCATTGGGAAAACACTAAAATACTCTATAACTGTCCTTTTTACCAAAGACTCCGATAAAGTGTCCAGTGTTTGAATGTTGGCAATAGATTTGTTAGAGGGTGCTTCCCAAGACACACGCATTGCTTGTGGTGGTAATGCCTTAGCTTCCTTTTCTCGCAAAATTGATTTTTTTGATTCTGCATCTTCGTCCCTTAGTATGGAATTTCTTGAAAGGAAGAGTATGTCTCCCTGGCTAGGGTCACTGGTTTCTTGATCTTCCAACTTTTCTTTTGAGGAAAAGTTATTTTCAGTTCTCACATTTGAAATGTTATAAACCTGGTCCTCGTTCTTAGAGTTTGATCTTCTGGAAGTGGTCTCTTCTCCTGCCGAGCTGATCCTCCTCGAGCTGGCGTCTTCATTTCTTACACTTCCCTTCCTCGAACTGGCACCTTCTTTAGCAACACTGGGTCGTGCAGAAGCATTGGCTGTGTTTTTTGTTATTGAACTTTTCGGACTACCAATTTCATTCGATAAATCACCTTGCTCACTTAAGATGACATCGTCCTCTTTCCGAATAACCTCACTGACCTCTTCGTTTTTAGATATCGACTTACGATTAGATATATCATCGTTGACTGGAATTTCATTTTTGGAGCTGGACTCATGATTTACAAAACTGGGTCGTTTGGAGCCTAAAGTGACACTTTTTATACTTGACCTACTAGAACCGACTCCTTCAATGCTCTGGGTAGGTTCACTAAATTGAGCATCGGCGTCCCTCAAGCTAGACTTCCTGGAACCGGAGCCCTCGTTCTTTAGACTTTGTTTTCTGGAAACAGTCCCTTCTTTCACCGATGTATTCTCCGGGTCATTGGCGGCTACGTCAGTTTGAGTGGGAGTTTTTGGAATATCTTCGTTCTTTGAACTCGTCTTTCTTGAACTGGGATCTTTACTTTTTCGATGTTTCTTGCCGTCTTCACCGTGTTTCGAACTTGTCTTTTTTTGCTTTGCGCTTCCTTTCCTAGATCCGCCGGATCCGCCTTCTTCATTTGTTGCATTGTCTGAATTTGAATTTTCCTCCTCTTCGGGCTTTTTGTCTTTACTCTTATGTTTTTTCTTCCGGGAGGCGGCGTCATCGTCAAAGATGCTTGACCTACTTGAGCCGCCTTCTCCCTTCATAAGAATTGATTTTCTTGAACTTTTCCCTTCGTCCTTTACACCTGACTTCTTGCTGGGCATGTCATGTTTGCTTGACGTCCCACCGGTGAGTGAAACATCAGAACCGGATTTTTCTTTCGAGTTTCTCCTCCCCTTGGAATCTATTGGGTTTTTTGCGGCCTCATTAGCAGACATTGATGTAATTGATTTGGGGTGTGTGGCTTTCCTCAGATTATGAAGTAAGTTTGTCTCATCGCCGGCAGCCTAGTTTTTTAAGTACGATGTAACTGATCACGGTCACTATCTGTTCATCGCTTGTTTTTTTTTTGGCGGGGTCACTTTCTGTGAAATCTCGTCGCGGGCTCAAACGTGTTTTTTTTTGCCCTTATTGATGCAGGTGTCATCTCAAGGCAGGTGTCATCTCTAGGCAGGTGTCATCTCTAGGCAGGTGTCATCTCTAGGCAGGGTTTCATTTACTCCAGTTCCGTTCTCGAGGACAATCTTTTTCCATTGGGTGTGAGGAAATCCTCTGCGATTTTTTCGTCCGACTGCAATAACTTTTCAAAAAAGGTTTCTTAAGAGTGGTTACCGTTGTTCTTTTGATCATACGTACAACCCGTCTTCATGCAGGTCAGTGTCGTGTTGTATGCATCGATTGTTTACTTTCCTTCTTTCCTCTCTACGTACGATTTGCGTTCTTTTGTTCGAAATAAATATTTCTGCTTTCTTTTCTTTTTTTTTTCTTTTTTTTTTTGGTCTTTTAAATAGTGTATAGTCTAGATGCTCTGGCCATTTCTTTAATCCCAACAATGAAATATTAAGATCCAGTGAGGCAGCATTCGGGTCGAGGCTTTCATTATATTTTTTTTTAAAACTCCAACTTTTTTTTATCTTTACCGCGGAATTGTGATGAACCTGCTTTCTACAATTTAGTGTTAACTCGTAGAGGAAATTTTTGTCATGGCCAAGTTGAGATTGAGTGATACTGCTGTGAGGTGTGAGTGGTGAGCGTGCTGTTTTATCGACACTGTTACCACTTACTATGCATCGAAACTGGCAAGTGAGTTGTTTTTTTTCTCCCCAGAACCTACTACTTGTGAAAGTAAATAGTGATACTTCTTCACAAAAAAAGTTTGTTTAAATCTTTGTTTCTAGGTGGAGTTTTTTGTTTGTTTGTTTTTGTTGTGATGGTTTTACAGCTGATTCCATTGCGCTGAACAAGAAGGTAAATTGGGAGTGATACTTTTACTATATTGTCTTGCCCAACACTTCCGTTCAACATCATCGGGACTTCCCGCGTTTGAAGCGCTGTCAAATGTCGCGACGTATTATAGCGACTCTATAAGGAAATAGAGATGTCTCCGTCACATGGGCGTAGAAAAGCGTGGACGGGGGCTGCGGTTCAACCTGGTCAGCACTCCTTGTGTTAAAAGTCGGAGGAGGAGTTTAAAAAAAAAATTGTACTGCGTTTAATCTTTTTTTTTTTTTTTTTAATTTGATGCGTATTTTGTGATTTACTTTTTTTTTGTGTGTGGAGGGTGGCTTAAGTTTAGGACGGACACGGGTAACCCAAACTCTAGCTACTCCACTGCCCGTCATATTCCGTTATTCAAAGGTTAATAGAAGCGCAGTGCTACTATATATTTTTTCGATACTGGGGTGTTTTAAAGCCCCGCAGAATCATGTAACCAATTACAATGTTATAAATTAAATAACCTGGTATCAAACGCTCTTTTAAAATATTTTCTTTCCGTTTTTCTGATTTTTTCCGTGAAGGACTTGGTTTTATCATTTTCTTTTCTTTTTAGCAATAGGTCGGTTATATATATGTGTGTGTATGTGTGTTTGTGTGTGTGTGTTTGTATGTGTTGGAGTGTGTGTTTCTCATGGCTTACCAGACCGATCCTGGAATGAAAGTCTCGGCCTTATTTCTAGTAAGTCCTTGACTTCTGGTTAAGATTGGCCTTCCGTAATGCTTCCGTGAAGGGCTTTCTTCACGCATCGTCTGCATGTTTGACTTTTTTTGACACTACCATTCGCCAACTGGAACGGTGCCCATCGATGATCTCCCATTAGCTGCTTTATGTGTTGACTTCACTCATGTTCAATTAGCAAACGTTCTTAAAATTGCGGCCGTCCAGTAAGTCTTACCCAATCTTTCAACTCTCCATACAGCAGATTCTTTCGAGTACGGCCCTCCTCCATTCTCCTTTCATGGCCTAACTAGTGAAGGCGCCACTTGGTAACCGCGGAGAACACGCTACATATCTAGAAGATCTTATGCACCCTGTCCACGTCTCACTGGCATATAGGAGAAATTTTAAGACCATTGCATCATATACTTTCAGCATAGTGACAAGACTGAGACCCTTTCGTCTAAGCACTCTTCCGGAACCTTCCGAATGTAACATTGGCTTAGGAAATTCCGTTATTGATCTCATCATCTATTGTTACTGACACTAAGAGGGTGCTGCCCAAATATGTGAATTTTTCTACTACTTGGAGATTATGCCCCTTCACTGATCTTTTAGGTTCTTGCTGAGCGAGGCCATAGTTGTCGTAGGCCTTGCGATAAATTACTCGCTGCATTTTCAGTTGCGATAATGCTTTAAGGGCACAGTCAATAGGTCTCGAATTACAATTTTTTTTTAAACTTTCGTCATGGATGCAGTCTCATAAGATTAAATAGCCCTCCGTCTGTCCTGTATCGTATGCGAATTAAATGCCAACATTATTATCAAGAAAAGTATCAGTCAGCATTGTTGAGATTACTATGCTAAAAGTTTTTATGCTAGAACACAGCTTTGTTTTACGCCATTTGTTACAAGAAAAGCCACAGACTCATCTCCAGAATCCATCACCCTGGCCTTCATATCAGCATGGAGTTGACGCACCATTGCAATAAATCTTTTCGGGCACCCAAACTTCTCCATTATCTTCCATAAACATCGCAACTGACTGCAAACGCCTTGGGTCAGATCAAAAAGATGTTGAACAGGCCGCTCTGGCGCTCTTGACATTTTTCCTGGAGCTGGCGTGCAGCAACTATCATGACGCAGCAGCTATCATGACGCAGCAACTATCATGACCCAGCAACTATCATGACGCAGCAACTATCATGACGCAGCAACTATCATGACGCAGCAGCTATCATGACGCAGCAACTATCATGACGCAGCAACTATCATGACGCAGCAGCTATCATGACGCAGCAAATATCATGTCAGCTGTGCCCCGTTCAGAATGGAATCCACATTGACTTTCAGGAAGTAGTCACTCTTCAAGGTGTAGTTGTAAACGATTAAGTGGGACTATGGCCATGATCCCCCCCCCCCCAGCTATAATATGGAAAGGGGAGAAATGCCTCGACCCTTATCCCAGGTTTGGCGACTACCCTTTCTCTTGATTATTCGTATTTTATGATTTCAGAATGGAATCCACATTGACTTTCAGGAAGTAGTCACTCTTCAAGGTGTAGTTGTAAACGATTAAGTGGGACTATGGCCATGACCCCCCCCCCCCCAGCTATAATATGGAAAGGGGAGAAATGCCTCGACACTTATCACAGGTTTGGCGACTACCCTTTCTCTTGTATATTCGTATTTTATGATGCCTCCTTGCATTGCTGAGGGACAGCATCATATTTCCACATCGACTCGAGCAGTTCAGTCTTTTAGTCAGGACCGGGCCCCCTGCCTTGTACATTCCAACAGAAACTGAATCTTGCCCTTGGGCTTTATTTGATGAGATTTGCTGCATTGCAATCCTAACTATATCTTCATTGGGACTACTGTCTGACTCTTGGCTAGCGGGAAATGGAATTGTCGTTAATTGACGGTTACGGTCTTGACAAAAGTGTTCAGCCAATCTTTCTAAAATCCGACTCTAAAAAATCTTCTTATATTTGAGGTGCCCACGATCAATTTGTTGATCATTCTAGTCTGTCAGTCGCTGGGTTCCACTTGTTTAATCAGGATGAGCAAGCAG